TACCATTATCATTTATGCAATACTATTGTTATTTATACAGTAGCTATCTTTCTTGAAAATTTACTGGATGTCCAGCACTGTGCTAAGTGCTTTACATTCAATATTACATTGAACTCTCACATCACCTTGTGAAGCGGATATTATTGTTACCTAACTTTTGCAGATGAGGAGACTGGTGGTTGGGAAGGTGATGTATGTTGCTTAGTGGGCACAATAAGTTGGAGAAGGGATTTGAGCTCAGTCAAGTGATCACAATGCTCTGTTGTCACACAATGTTGTGCTGTAATGCCTCTCCTTAAAAAAAACAAAAAAAGACAAACAGTTTGCGTGTGTGTGTGTGTCTGTGTGTGTCTGTGTGTGTGTGTCTGTGTGTGTAGGGCTGAGTGTTGCTCTAGACCTTCATCAAGGTAGTTTCCTCAGCCTGGTCTTATAAAGATGACCTGCCTTCCATCGGAGAGTGAAGCTGTGCTCTCTCCGTCTCCCACGCTGCCAGCTTTGCCAGATCCCAGAGCACGGCAACTCCTGGTCATTCTCTGCTTTCCACATCAGCCCAGTCTGGCTACATGGATCTTGAGATTTGTGATGTATTGTTTCAAGGTTCAAAAAATTGTAAATTTAAAGTAAGTTTGAAAAACCAAAACAGGACATTTAAAAACATTCCCTTTGTCTTTCAGGTTATGAATCAGGCATAAATTCTGTTGAAGTTCTTAAAAACAAAAAGCCAAGAATAAACTAGGTTCTTTTCCAGCTCATTTCCTGGGTTTGGATGGAAAGAACCCAGGGTGTTTTATTGTTGGTTTGGTTTGTTTTGTCTAGTGTCTATATTTCCTCCTGGCATCCTTTGACTTCTTTGTATAATTTCCTCAATTTTCTTTGAAGGCTTCGGAGTTTGCTTTCTGTCTCAACCACTTTAAGGTTCTGTATCCTTAGGCAAGTTACTCAGCCTCTCTGAGCCTCACTTCCGTCAAGTGAAAAGTGAGGTAAACCTCCCAGGGTCTGTAGGCGGTCAAAATGAGTTAATTTATGTCACAGGCATGGAACAGAGGAGATGCTCAACAATTGTGAGCCCCCCTCTTCTCTCATTACCTTCCTCCTGTGTGTAGAAAACCATGGCTGTTCCCGCTGCTTGTAGTAAATCATCGCTAAACAGAAGGAAAATTAAAAAGAAAGCAATGAGCAATTTTTTGGATCAGTTTCTTGATAAAAAATTTGATGAAAAAAGTTTCATTCTTTCATTTCACAAAAATATATTGAGCAGCTGCCACTTACCAAGCACTGTATTAGGCAAGGGAGAAACACTAACAGATAGTGGACAAGCCATCAATCTTGCCATTAGCATAACAGATCCTACCATTTGGAGTGATAAGTGCAGTGACGTGGGTGAGCTCTGGCCATCATGGGACATATAAAAGGGGCATTATCCAGTTTGGGAGGCCCTAGAAGGTTTTCAGGAGGAAGTGATGTCTCAGGTGAGAGCTGAAGGATGAGTAGAGCTCAGTCAGGCCTCACGATCTTACCCAGTCAAGATGATCTGTGAGTAAGATCTTGAGTAGGGTAATTTCCCTGGATCTGTGTTTTCTCTTGTGCTTTAAGTGATGACTTCCAACTCCAGGATGAGATGACACAATTTGGATTGGGTCTGCCTTGATTTTGGGACTCTCTGTGTCTAAATGGGACAAGATGGGAAGGGAGAACTTTAGGACTTGTAAAGCCAAAAATGAGTCTATGAAGATAGGGAGTGAGTGTCAGGAAGGTGAGTTGGACTGAAAGTCAGATTTTTGGTCTCTGTTTCTGTGGGTCTACCACACTCATAACCATATTTTGATAAGTGTGAGTGGCAGCTGCAAATGATTTATTTATTTTGCCAAGAGACATTCATTGTGTGCCAGCCATGTGCAAGCCCTTGGGATAGGTGCAGAGATCCATTTGATATCCCTGACCTCAAGAAGCTTAAAACAAGGGACAACGGGACCTAAAATTTTTAGAATGCCCCTTACATGGCATGCATAATACCTGGCAAATTCAAAACATTACATTCTCTGAGATCATTCCTTCCGTTTCAAAGATGTGGAAACTAAAGCTTGATTTGGTATAGAGCTTGCCTGAGGTCTCACAGCTAGAGATGGGGGAAGTTGGGTTTTGAACCAGGTCTATCACGTTCCAGAGCTCTGTTGTCTTTCCACATAATCAGAGATGAGACAAGGCAATGCAAGAGGTGACCCCTTCCCCCAGGTAGCATCTTTTTCAAAAAAGTAAAAATTTTATTACTTTTCTTGATTAACTCTGTCCTCAGTACTTTTCAGCCTTATCGCCTGCTATCTCCCTCCATATCTGGCTGGGCTGGGCTGGGCTGAGCTGGGCTGGTTTGAGGCCACTAGGCATGCCCTCCTTACCTACTGGCCTCATACCTACATATTTCTCCGTGTTGAAATCCCACCCATCAATCAAGACTACCTCTTTCACAAAGCTTCCCGAGCTACCCCTTGTATTGGTTGTTAAAACAAAATAAGACTTTAGGCACATGTCTTCTCTTTTAGAGTTCTAATTTTTGCAGAGAGTGGGTCTTACAGAGTTATTATGAGGATTAATGGTGTATGTTAAATGCTTGTTACTAGTAGGTGCTGAAAATGGAAGCTATTCTTATTTTTGCTGATCTTTGATTCTTTCAGCGTTCCCAGCACTGCCTTTGTATGGTCCTTGGCAGGTGCTGGGAGAATTCTGTGGAAACTGGTAGCAAAGGTTTTCTTCTTCTGGCCTCTGAAGACACCTTTTGCTGATAGAACTAGTTGGGCTTCTGGGTAGAAGCCAGGGGCATCCATCTGGCCCACCTGCTCCCTTGCCTTTGGTCTTCCCAAACTCTCAATGGGTTATTTTCCAGTCTTGCCAGAGGCTCCTTAGACCACCTTATTAGACAGCAGTGCTAACAAGGGCCAAGGGCATGAGTCACACCCACAGCTCACTGCACTCTGTGCCTATAGATGAAATGTCTGCCCTTGGCTACTGCCTGGAGAGTGTGAGTTGTCACTGGTGTTGGGGTCTAGGTGAGAGAAAGTGGATAGTCAATGTACATCCATCACAGTTTTTGGAGGGGGTGCAAGGCAATGTTTTAGGCACTGGAATACAGTGGAGAACCACATGAAGAACCTGCCTTTGCGGAACTGACATTCAGGAGGGTTATCTCATTTATTTCTCACCACAAGGTCTTGAGAGAGGTGCTCTGATTATTCCCATTTTATAGGCGAAGAAACTAAGGCTCAGAGAAGTAGAATAACAGTTCGAACACTGTGGAGCTAAGTGCCAGAGCCAAGATTGGAACAAAGGTAGTTTGCTTTAAAGCCCGAGCCCTAACCCACTCTGTTAGTTGACCTTTCTCCCTATATATAATATAATTCAAACAGATATAGAGATATCTCTATATATGCATATAGTCATACATATATGTATATCTATATATGTGACTATACCCTATAAATGTGTATATCTATGTACGTGACTATCCTATATATGTGTCTAGCTGTATATGTGACTATATCCTATAAAAGTATATATCTATAGATGTGACCATATATGTATATATAAGTATACACATATTTTTATAAAATTTTTTTTCTAATTATAATGCTCATTTTTAAAGGAAAATTCATAAAAGTAAACATAAAAGAAGTGATCCATTAACCCACTACCTTGGGGTCTGGGTTATCATTCTGGTGTGTTCCTTTCAGATAAATAGCTATCAGTATGTATCTTGTCAAGATCATGGTGTAGGTTCTGTGTGCATGCTGCTTTCTTCACCTAACATCTAGCACTGCCATGTTTGTTTTCATCCAAACAGAGAAGTAATAGGTTGTGGTGATTCTGAATTTGAAACATCTGTGGCTTTTTTTTTTTTTTAACATGTGACATACAGCTCTATTAGCAAATCAGTGGCTTGGCTTCCTGGGTGCAGTGACTGTAATGCGAATGGAGGTGTGGAACGAAGGGCGACTGGGAAGCATTGTACTTCCTGAAGATGCTGCAGGGAGATGCATCTTCCTCTCCCAGCACTTTCTTTCCTCTAGGCCCCTCCAGTGAAGAGCCTAATGAAACTCTTTTGAGGGTCTTCAGAGTCTACAAAAACTGACACCAACATGAAAAACATTGGGATACTGGGAAAATAAACTTTTATAGCCATTTTCTCCTTGAATGCCACTATGACCTAGGTGAGATAGCCAGGGCAAATGTTATCCCTGTTTGATGGATTAATAGATTTGCCCAAGGCTAAATGAGGACTGTAAATAGCAGAGATAGACTGGAACTCCAGCCACTTCTGCTTCCTGGGGAAGAGTTCTTCCGGGAGACTGAGCCCACAGCTGAGCCATTAGCAAGTTCCTAGCAGCTTGCACCACTTTTGCTTCTAGACTCATTGTCTCCTTCCTCACTTCTTCCTTCTCTGAAGACCTTATATCTGAGCTTTTGGTTAAACTGCATGACTCCACATTCACATTTTAAAAGGCACATCTGTAAAGGGACTTCAGTGCTAGATGATGGGGATAATAGTGACAATAGTGACAGTACAAATAGCTAATAGTTATTGACCACTTAATATGTGCCAGATAAAAGAAATGCTTTACAAGCCTCTGCCCATTTACTCCTCAACAACCCCATGAACATGGTAAATGGAAGAGCTGAGATTTGAACCTGGATCTTGCTGTCTTTAAGGCCTGACCTCAACCAAGATACTACAGTAGCCTCAGAAGGGAAAGGGAAGAACCTAGAGGGCAGAACCATTGAGCTCTTGGGATGCTGTTTATAACTGTTAAGACTATGGTTATATGCATCTGACCACATATAACATAATAATCCAAAACTTTTAATGGGGCTCTGAGACCCACAGGCCTCACAGAGAGGACCTTCTATGAAGTGTTTACCTCCATGTCCATCCCCACTGAAGCTATCTTTTTCTAACCCACTGCCTGCCAAAAACCTTTTTCTGATATGTGTTTATGCTTCTTTTCCTACAGGAGGAAATATAAGAAAACATCCCAGAGGTAAGAGCATCTTTCTGAAAAAGGGGAGCTCGTTGGTTGAGTCATTTGTGGCATGACTCTTCACATGTCTGGTTCATGGTGGACGTTCATTGTAATAGACAGTCTCTTGCTTCTTTCTCAGTGAGTTGCCTGCTTTATCTTCTGGTTGCTACTGCTGCTGTAATTAGAAATTGATTGCAGCATTTAGTGTGGCACAGTAAGTGTATACCTTCACATGAGAGTGGATCCAGTGGATTAAAAAACTTGTTACTGCTGAGCTGTCTAGTGATTTTACTAAAACCTTGACCAGAGAGTGGCCGGGTTGGGCATGGGGGGTTGTTGAATGTTTATGGATGGGAACACAAAAGGGTCTTTAAATACACTTTTAGTGTTTGAATTCTTCTTTGCCTGAAATTCTCCTTTGCCTGATTTGCTGACAAAGTGCTGTTGAGCTCAAAGTATAGTTACAAATTCTTTTAAGGGCAGTGATGGTTTTTTGATTTATCCATGGAAAGGGTAATTTGAAATAGAATATCATCTGTCATCGCCCTCCATTACTGTTTTATTGAGAAGAATTTTTGGAAAGCACATTCCAAAGAAATAGAGTTGCTTGGACCTTTTGTTTGCCAAGCATTAGAAGCCCACAGTTCAGTCTAGAAGGCTAATGTCTGCTTTTCATTGATTGTATTTGACTTTGGTATTATGGCTTTAAACAGATTACATTCAGATAAAAAATCACTAATGCAATTAAAATCTGCCAGTAGGTTTCAACAATGGTACTTTCAGATGACCATTTTAGTCTTACCTTTTCTAATGAGCATCTTCTCATAGCAAAGACTCCTAAGTCCTATGGTTTCCAAGTAAAGTCAATAATTCAAAGTTGTGGTATTGTAGTTTGATAGGCAATGTAGAGATGCACAAATCATTGAGAGAAAATGAACTAAAACTTGAAAGCTTCCTAGAGGTTGCTATACTTTTCTAAATATGGTGAGCTTATACAGATGGCTGAATAATTCTGTCTTGTTCAGGTTCATTGGGTTCATGGTAGTAATTGCATGTGAACCACTGAGCAGGGTGTAAATTAATCACTCAGATTAGAGGGCATAATAGTTGTCAGTAGTAAAAGGTAATTTATCATTTTCACATGTAGTTAACCTGGGATATGAGATGTTTCAAAGTTGCTTCAATTTTATTTTAAGGAGAGATAAATAGATAGGTAAGAGGGAGAGAGATCTGCTCAAACCTGTCAAGTTTCAAATTACTATGTCGATTATTTTTGAGAGCGTGTTTCTGCATATCTGACATGAATGCTGTTGCATTTTTTATTATGCCAATGTAATAAAAAAACAGACTGTCTGTACCAGCTTCATTGAAGTCATGTAAAGTGAAAATTAATAGAGGATTGGTTTGAGCTCTCCTATTTTTAATCACATACATATTTTCGTGTGAAGTAGATCCATGTCTACTTATCTATCATTGAGTAACAAACCATCCCTAAACTTCGAGCTTAAAATAACCGTTTTGTTTTGCTCACAGTTTTATGGGTCAGGAATTCAGGAAGGACTTGGCTGGGTGGTTTGGATCTGACCCATCTGGTGTCAGCTGGGGCTGCTGGAGACAGAGGATTCACTTCCAAGATCGCTTCTTCACTCACATGTGGAGAGCGTTGGTGCTGCTCATTTCTTTCTCTCTCTCCACGTGGCTTTCACCCTCCAGGATGTGTCCGTGGAGCTTGGGCTGCATGGTGGTCTCAGAGTAGTTGCACTCTTAGCTGCTTCCTAGCCCATGTGTTCCAAGAGATGAGGAGTGGAAGCTTCTAGCCTCTTAATTATGGCCTGGGCCCAGAAACTGGCACAGTGTCACTTCTGCTGTATCCTATTAGTTAAAGTATCACAGAACCCACCCAGAGTAAAGAGAAGGGGACATAGATTACATCTCGTGATGGAAGGGTGTTAAAGAATTTGGGGTCTTCTTAATGTACCAAACTTTCAACTTTTTTCGGAATGATTTCGCTTGAGACCTTTTCCAGAGATCTGTAAATTTGGATTATGTGATACCTTATTTGATGAATGGTAGACACTTTTAAATATATCTTGAGGGCTGGCCCCGTGGCTTAGCGGTTAAGTGCTCACGCTCCGCTGCTGGCGGCCCGGGTTCGGATCCCGGGCGCGCACTGACGCACCGCTTCTCCGGCCATGCTGAGGCCGTGTCCCACATACAGCAACTAGGTGCAGCTATGACATACAACTATCTACTCGGGCTTTGGGGGGGGGAAAATAAATAAATAAAATCTTTAAAAAAAAATATATGTATATCTTGATACCCTTGTCAGATGCTGGTCTGTTTGAATGGATCCTTGTCTATTTGATGATTAATTTGGGCTGGGAGTAGCTGTGATTCCTTTTTCACATTAGGGACAAGCATACTAGTGTGGACTCATCTGGTTAGTTCAATTCTACATGTAGTTATCTGGCTTCAGTTAATAATTAGTCAAATAAAGCTGATGGCTTCATGTAGGAAAACCAAATGACATAAGTGTTCATTAAAAAGCTTTAGATCGGATAGGTTTGCTTTGGACATCAGGTGAAAGACATTCAGGATACAAAAATAATCTACTTTTGTTTAAACCTTTTTTGCTAAGTCTGATTTCACTTCACTTATGTATTTATTTACCTTTCAAAGCTATGTCAAAGAAAAAAATCCACTAACTTTCAAGTCATCGTCATCCTACTACAACTTAACTGAGGTAGATATCATCCTTTAAATTTTTCATGAAGTACTAGGCAGACCTTAGTAGCCCAGGAGAATGTTTTGATGATAGTGATTCTACTGAGTCTCACTTTTAGCTTTAATAGAAATGTACTCAAAATTACAACTGAAAGAGTGATGTTATAAGTACTCTTTACTGGGTTAGCAAGGGTAGCAATAAGTGGGAGGTAAGCTCTCCCTGCACAGAAAACCTTGTTGGATTGGGCTTTAAATCAACACGATTTAGAGGAACCATCCTTTTGCCTTGTGAGTGGGTCTTGTTCACGGGGGCCAATCATTCGAAGAGATTTACTGAAGTGGTGAAGTGGTAATTTGACAGCTAGAGCAGATTACACCGGAAACCTGCTCCCCCATAAAATTCCCATCAGGTTGTTTTTAATACAGCTGCAATTTCAAATTATCAGGTTTGGTTTTGAGAAGTTTATATCTTTGAGAAAGCAGGCCAGACCATGTATGAAATAATCACAAATACCTAGAAATAATCTTATTCTTCTGGGCTACCCCTGAAGAAAGGAATTGCTGTCAGAGATGATGTTATAAGCTGACTCTATGTTAGGAGTGCTTCTGACACACGCACGCACACATACACAGACAAACACACTCACCTCTATTTCAGTATGCTAGGGAATGCTGTGATTGGTCAGCACAGAAGAGGCAGAAGTACAAATAAAGACATATCCACAAACCTGAGGGACCCCTGCCGACCCATGTCCAGATTTCATATGTCTGGACTGTGGAAATACTTTGGTCAGGAACACCAGGAGTTGCAGTTTAAAGCTACACCAGATAGCAAAACCCTCATCAGCCTGAAAGTTTTTGTTGATTTGTTTGTTATTAATTCCAGCTCTGTTTAGGTAGCTTAAATAGGAGATCTGGTTCTGACTATATCTGATTTACCCATTTTATAAATCTAGACATTTCTGTGAGCAATTAACTTTAGCCAAAGGCATCTCTCGATATCTTTTGATAATCATATTATATTGATAGTCATGTGCATAGTACTTTACAAAAATCTTCCAATTTAACAAAAGTTTACTTAATACTTACGATTGCCATTCACTGAAGTATACACTTGAAATAAGAAGATCTGTAAGAAATAGCCTCTGTGAAGTGGTGCACAGGCTTGTAGGTGAGACACATGTGAACAAAATAATTATAATAGAAGGTGGTATATATATAATAGATATAAATATTGAGCATTGAACGTCATTGGGAAAAATTAGGTCTTTTGGGAGAAACTTACGTTATCATATACTCTTCTCTCACTAGATCACAAAGATAGCTTACAATATTGCTTATTATTCATGGTGCTTGGAAGTATGGGTTTATTAAAGTCTAATAGAATAGTCCAGAATCTTTTCTCTTAGTTTTCTTTTCTTTTTAAAATGTATGTTTTGCTGATTCTTTAGGATTTTTCTCAAAGAGGCAAATGGCTCAAAAATATTCTGGACATTAGGAAGAAGACAGCCCAGGATACAAACGTATGTGGAAATAATGAATAAAGTGGATTTTGCATATGTAGATAATAGACTGGCCTCCACCTGTTGCAAGGCAAAACAAGGCGTTATTTTTTTCCCCAAGTGTCTAATGCCTTCTTTCACTTGGATTTTTATGTAGCTCAGTAATCACATTTGATGAGCCCAATAATTGACTAAATCCAGCAAATGATTTCCTTAGTCGAGTCTGCCCATGTTCAGCCTTCATGAATCAGCATACTTAATGAGTCATCAACAGAACCGCCACCTTTGCTGTTAATAATAGATTGTCACGGGTCGGGGGTGGGAAGGTAAGTGGATATCACCCTTTGGGAAGGTTGCCTTCAAAGCAGTTGTATCGTTATGTTAGCAGGTGCATCTTCTGCTGAACTCTGCCCCTGTCTCATTCCTGGGACATATTAAGTCTCATCAGTGAATTCTGAAGCTCTTTTCAGCTTCAAATAGAATCAGTGGACTGTTTTCCTCTACCTTTGCAATGAGAAATGACAGCTAAATAACTTGTTGGGAAGGTTAAAGGGGTGATGGGATAAATCAAGGCACATATTTTTGCATACTTGTGGATAACCAATCCTGCCTATTACTACTTACTTAGTAGTATTGATATTTAGAGCCTCAGGGTGATGACATCAGGGACAAGAGGATCTTCTAAGAAATAAAATCTTTAAAAAATATTTTCCTATATTTGTGATGACTAATAAATTCTCAAAGGAGTAAGAACACGTGCATCAGCTATGAGAATATGTCCAGTTTACATTC